TTCTGAAAAAGCAAATGGACAATTTAAATAAAGCACAGCATCTAAACTCCATTCCTGTCACAGCAGATTTGTGTCTTTTGTGACTAAATCATCGTAGAATGGCATATACATGTCTTCTGCCCCAACAAAATCTTTTCAGTTACCCGGTTAGTTCTCTTCCATTAAGCCCTAGCAATTTTCACTGTTCTCACTTATTCATTTTTTCCACATATACAGCATACCTATTTACACAAAGAAATGTGAGGTTGAGAGGGGAGAGGGAGGTTCTTCAAGGAGCTGACAGTCTAGCAGAAAAACTCAGATATGTAAAAATAACTGCTATAAAAGGTAGAAGGTGATAGATTCAGAAAAAGAGTAATAAAGTGCTATGTAAGTTTGTAGAATGGAGGCTCTCACAGAATCTCAGAGTAGGAAGGAAACAGTTAAGAGGCATGTGGCCATATGAAAAAAATGTTCCAAATAACTCATAATTGGAGAAATGTAAATTAAAACAACTCTGAAGTACTACTTTATCACTATCAGATTTGTAAAGTTGACAAAAATTAAAAACGACAACTGCTGGAGGGGCTATGGGAAAATAGGTACATTAATGCACTGTTGGTGGAACTGTGAACTGGTCCAACCACCATGGAAAGCAATTTGGAATTATGCTCAAAAAGCTATTAAACTGCATATATAGTGATTCAGTGATACTGCTACTAGGTCTATATTCTAAAGAGATCAAAGAAATAGGAAAAAGACTTAGATGTATAAAAATATTCATAGCAGCTCTTTTTGTGGTGGCAAAGAATTGGAAACTGAGGGGGTGCCCATTATTTGGGGAATGGCTGAATGAGTTAAGAAATACTATGTAATAGAATGCTGTTGTTATAAGAAATGATGGAGGTGATGCTTTTAGAAAAACCCGTGAAGGCTCAAATGAATTGCTACAAACAAGTGAGCAGAACCAGAACCAACTGCTATAGTAACAATACTGTAAAGATAAACAATTTTGAAAGACTTAGGAACTCTGATCAATACAATGGAATTGACCATAGTTCCAGAGGACTCTTAATGAAATGTTATCCATCTGCAGATCGAAGCATATTTTGAGGAGAGGGGAACTAATGTGGGAACTTGTTTTACTTGACTATATGTATTTATAATGGGTTTTGTTTTTCTTGTTTTCTCAATAGGTGAGGGTGAAAGGAGATGTGAGGGAGAGAATTCAGAAATGTAAATAAAACGGAATTTTAAAAAAAGAAAGAGATGTATGCATGCGCTCGTTCGCACGTGCATGTGTGTGTGTGTGTGTGTGTGTGTGTGTGTGTTAGAATGAAAAGAGCACTGACTCCTGAGTCAGAGAACCAAGGTTCAAATCCCACCTCTAATGCTTACTACCTGTGTGACCTTTGACAATTCACTTAATCTTCTTGGTCCTCAGTTTCGTCTACTATAAAATGAAGCCATTGGATTACGTGATTACTGAGGTCCCTTCAAGCTCTAGATTGCTGATCCTATGATATATAGAAATCATCTTGTTCAACTCACACCTGGGTAAGAATCTCTTCTCTATCCTTCCTCCCATATCCAATAAATGGATTCCAACCTCCACTTAAAAATATCCAATAAAGCAACTTGACAGGAATTATATTTAGACCAATATTCTACATGGTATTTCACAAATTTTAAATGGATATATGACCTGAAAATTAAAGACCATACCGTAATATAAACCTTTATATCAAGTATCTGATAAGGTTATCCAAGATATATGAACAAGTAAGAGATATAGATAGGCCCAAACTGGCAAAAAAAAAAAGTTTTATTTAAAAAGGAATAGTCAATGTCAGAAGGGTTGTGGAAGAACAGGGTCACCAATGCATTGTTGGTGATGCTATGAATTAGTACAACCTTTATGGAAAGTTATTTAGAATTCTGCAAATAAAGTAAAAAAATATCCACACCATTTGACTCTGAGATTCCACTGCTAGGCATATATCTCCAATGGAAAAAAAAAAAGGGTTCTACATACACCAAAATATTTATAACAGCACTTTTTGCAGTCACAAAGTAGATGTCAACTGATAGAGGAATGACTAAACAAATTGTGGTGCAATATATATGGTCCAATATAATGGAATATTATGATGTTGTAAGAAATGAATAAAGTGATGAATACAGAGAAGACTTGCATAAGTTGATGCAATATGAAATTAGCAGAGCCAAGAAAACAAGTTTACTACAACAATGTAAATGGAAAAGACAGCAACTCAAAACAATAAAAAATGATATGAAATTATTAAAACCAAAGTTGGGCCCACAGAATCAGATACCTACCCAGCTCCTTTTTCTGCTCTGAAACAAAGGGTGTGGAACATTGCACATACCACTAGATTTTTTTTTGGTGTTGATCTATTTTACTGAAAATTTCCTCCCTCGTCTTTCTTTTTGAAAAACAGCCATCTAATTGTCAGATAAGTGATGTAAAATTAAAAAAGTCAACAAAATATACTTTTTAAAAGGGTAAACCTCCAATGAGGGGAAGTCTATTACTTCAAAGTTAGTTGTTGTAACTTTGAGTCAGATCTAGTAACTAGTAGCTTTCTCTCTCGTTGAATTTGTCAGTCTGCAACTTCCACCTGCTACTCCTAGTTCTGCAGCCAAGGCCAAGCAGACAAATCTAATCTCTCTGTTCTCCTTTAGAGTGTAAACTCAATGAGGGCAGGAACTGTCACTTCTCATTTTTATATCCCTGACAACATACTTTAAACACAGTACGAATTCAATAAATGTTTGTTGTTGATTTCAGAGTTTTCAAAGGTGATGTACATATAAAGTTAAATCTAAGTATAATAATGCTGAGGCTACATCCTTTATATTAATTTCCTGAGATAACTGATTTCAACTCCGCAACTGTCTTGGTCCAAAATATGGAAAAGTATCACAAGTACCTTCCCAATCCCCTTCCTCCTCACAACACACACACACACACACACACACACACACACACACACACACACACACACACATGTCCCTTCTGAATACATACCTCAAAGCACCGAAAATGAATACTGGTAAGAAGGTAAAACATAGTCTCAATGGAAAATGGAATCAGATAATGGAAATCATGTTTACTTCTACAAGTACAAATATACTAAGAACAAGAAAGTAACGAGGATCCAGGAAAAAAAATGCCACTACTTAACATAATTATGCTCATGAAATGAGGAATCATTCATTAGCCTCCTCCAAGAAACTACCTGTAAAGATTAGCTTTCCAATATAGTGTGCTGGAAACATTGGCCTGGGTGACAGGATCCCTAATTCAATTCTGGCTCTATAACTAACCCACCATTTGGCCTTGGCATATCACTTCATCTCTGAGTCTCCTTTTCCTCCTCTGTAAAATACATTTGAGACACAATAGATTACCTTTCAAATGCTTTACACAACTAATATCACATATTCCTATGATTCCATAACTGTCTGCAAACTAATCTGACAACAGTGATATTCCTGCCCATCTTGAAAAAGGCCTTCATGTGTCTTTCCTTTAGCAAGACATACATCATTATTATCATTATATAAAGAGATATGCTTTGAGGCATCTTCAAAGGTACACATTTGATGCGATTTTACAAAAGTAACCATCCTAACTTAATTTCTGATTTTTCCCAACTTGACATATACCTAAAGTTGAATTGGATGTTAATGTAATAATTCATGTTTAAGTTAAATTAACCTAAATTTTATTTTCATAACCTTATTTAGTAGGAATTTTTAAAAGTAAAAAAAAATCAAGATAAGGCTGACTTGCTATATGAGACAACGAATGGAGTATTGATAAAATAAAATAATAATAATAATAATAATAATAATAATAATAATAATAATAATAATAATTACAGGTACCTCTCTCCCAAGTGGATAGCATGAACAAAATCATAGAAACAGAAATTTCAGAGGTGAAAGATATCACAATGGTCACCAATTTCCAAATGTCACATTTTATATCTAGTCCAGAAAGGAAAAATGATTCACTTGAGGTCACATATCTAGATAATGGCAGAGCCAAGACAAGAACCAAGTCTCTTATCTCCTAGCCTGGCATGCAGTTTTACTAAGACAAGGAATTTATTTTGATATACTTCAACATCTCTATTATCATTGATGTGGGTACTCCCTCTATTGGAACAGGTCACAACCCATGCAGTTTGAATTTTATACTATCCATGTCCATATCCTCCCATAAATTCTCCACAGAAGATTTACCCAAAATGCTAAAGGTCTTGTTCAAATTCTTTTAAAATTCCATGGGGGCAGTATTGAGGCTGTCCATTATGACCTCTTATTTCGTGCCCCATGACTCTCCTATGCCCTCTTCTAATTAAGCATTTCAGAATGACAGTCTTATACCTTTTTTACATGCAAATCAAATGTAATAATATGCTACAACCTATTTATGCCCACCATGCATCTTTCTATTAATCTCTGGATCATTCAGTTTAGATCCTTTGGAGGTTGTGGTGTTCCATGATTTGCAGCTATGGAGAATCACCAGAATGTAGTGTTTTATATACCACCAGAATACGGTGTTAAAATAACAAGTTTTTGTTGGAGAACAACTTTGAATTATTAAGAGTCCAAAATGCAATATAGCCCACTCTCTTTCTCCTGATCAATCCTGGACCCAACTAATTTTCAACTAACAGTACCAGTTCAAACTAGATGTCCTAATGAACTAACTCAGTATCCACCCAATTCTGTATCAAAGTCTGAGAACATCATTTTGGATTTACTGATTGTGAGGACAATTTTTTGAGTGGTCGTGAATTTTGTTGAGGTATTCCTGTAGTGTTTGGGCAATTGATACATTCAACACAATATTATCCCAAACACAAGCATCTGGAGGACTTAACTGTTATAAGCAGAAGTCCTAATCTGATGCCTCATTGTGATGTGATAAGAACTTGGCCTCTCAAAGGAACAGAGCTCAAGTTCAGGCAGATTCTTCAGGCTGGAAAGTTCCAATAACAAGCCATGTTTGCTATCGAAGGACAAACCTAAATAAGAATGGAGAAGCTCATAACCAATAAGTGAGTCATAAGATAATGAGTTCTTTGGTTCCATGAAACATTAAAAAATCAGTGCAACCAATAATTTGCCAGTAAAGGATTCCCATGGTGAAGAAAGGGAAAACATGCTACTTGTGTCTTACCAGAGTCTAATTTCAGGAATGTTTTTTTAAAGAATATTACTTTGTATTAATATTTAAAAGAATTCCACTTTTTACCTGAAGGCTCTCAAAATTCCTGTGATAAACCTGTCTCATCTTACTGAAAATTTTAATCAGAGAGTATGACCAAGGAGGCTTGCACAGGTACCACAAAGAGTTTGGGGGGAAGGGGGAAGAGGATGGAAGAGAATGGGACATAAAAATACAAAATGTATTACAAATGAGGTCCCCCAGTCACGTCAGTACTCTACCCAAAAATTATGTTTACCATAGTTTTTGTCCTTAAGTGTACTATTCTTACTACTGTACATAATATGACATTGGTTTTTACCCCAGAAATTACTGTATTTCATAGGTGACAAATGATTTTTTAATCAAGCTTATAAAGATATTTCACAGAACACATGATTATTTCTCACACTTCCCCAAACAGAAATTATGATCTGTCATTAGAGGAATATAAGATGGACAGTTGCAATTACTTCTATTGTACAATTTCTTTCCAGATTCTGGCAGGCCATAGTTCTTCTCTTCATAGCAACACTATCCCAACAGTAGTCTTAAGCAAGTAATTTACTTTTATATGCCTCTGTTTGGAAAAACAAGACTATACTATTATACTTAACAAGAATATTATGGAGGAGTTATAAGAATTTTTTTTAATTTCTTTGAGGTTTTCCAATAAAACCATAAAGGCAAGCAAAAGGTAATCTTTTCTCCAGCATCTATAATCATTTTATGGAACTTTCTATTCAATTCAACTTCAAATATCAATATCAATGTGAAAATGAGATGACTTAATCATTGTCCTACTGACTCCAAGAGCACAATGCAATACCAATTTGTCACACTCGCAGAGCTTCCCAAGAGTACAAGATAACCAATCAATAATCTGCATGCTGTATTGGTATTCAAGTAATGCTAAAGATATAGAGCAGGGGTTCTTAACCTTGGGTCCATGTAATTCTTTTTAAAATATTCTGACAAATGTATTTCTATACAATCAATTTCCTTTCTTATCCTGTACATTTTATTTTATGCATTCAAATACATTATTCTGAGAGTGTCCACAGGCTTAATCAGACCTTCACCAGGACTAAGGATCCATTATGTGTTAAAACTGTATTTGATTCTGGTCTCCCTGAACACAATCCTCCCCCTTTTAGCTAGTATAGTAAGTTTACAAGTAGCTAGAATAAGGTAACAATAGTAGCAAATAAGATTGCAAAGGAGACCCCAGAAGTCACTTACAGAGTATTCCATAAATTAAGGGAGCAACAATTACTTGCAAATGATCTCATAAATTAGAGGAGCATAGGAGCCACTGAAAACTGTCTTATAAAATTAACTAAGGATACATCCTAAGACTATATGCTAAATTAGGGGAAGCCATCTAGGCCGTAATATAACAGCTCTCAGTCCTGCTTGCTAACTGTCCTTTGTCTATAGGCTTCACATAAGCTTAGACACATGCTGTAAGACCAGTAAAGTGTTATGCTAATAAACTAACCCTAAAGTGTGGCTGATAACTTTGAGATGATGCAGACATGCTAATAAACCAAGGTAGTATAGATAAGTGTTAGTCTGTCCCATACCACAAAAACCTATAAAAATGAAACCCCAAATTCCTGTTTCATCCATCCCTGCATGCCTCCACTTGCTATGGATCCTTGCTGACCAACTGCTCCCAAGGCATCTCCAAGATTACATAAGTGACTACATCCCTCTTCCTCTCCATTTTCTTTCTGTATTCTTCCTGCCTCTCTTTAACCACTCCATTCCCTGTCATACCCATTGACCCCTATTCTTTCTGTGCCATTGGCCTCTGTTTTCTCTGCACCTTATTGAAGCGTGAGTGAAGTACATTCCCTGCTTGATGCCATCATGGTCTTTACCTGCAAGTTTCCAAAAAGTTGGGCATGCCTGCCCCTCCCCTTGACCTAGAGGGCTTTCTCAGTGATCCCATTCCCATAGTCATAAACTGGAAGCACCAGGACTAAAAATATATGCTATTCAGAGCCACCCCTACTCTTGAACAAGCAAGGACTAATGAATTCCTGAACAGAGAGCAAGGGTGGGTAGCTGAACCTTTTGTCTCTTTCCAGGAGATTTTTTTTCCTTTTATCTGGGTCACAATGAATCAGTTAATAATTTCATAAATTAACTGGCAATCTATCTTATCTATAGGAAGGCCCCAATTACATTGGGTAAATCTCCTACAGAGAATTTATGAGAAGAAAAGACAACAGTACTGAGGATGAAAGGCCATAAATGTGTTACAAGGCAGCACAATGGAATCAGAGGAACTGCATTAAAATCCCAGTTTTGTCACATACTATGTAGTTGCATGACTTTAAATAAGTACCTTAACCTTTCCAAACTTTGGTCTCCTCTCATCTGTAAAATGAGAGTATTTGATTAAATAGATTCTAAGGATCCTTTCAGCTTTAGAGTTGTGATCCAATGATAGTATAGGCAGCTAAGTGACACAGTAGATGGAACAATGGACCTAGAATAAGAAAAATGTTAGATTGTGACCTTGAGGCCAAGGACAGTCTTTTGCCTCTTTTTGCATCCCTAGCCCTTAGCACAGTGTCTGGCACATAGCAGGTGCTTAATAAACGCTCAATGATTGATTGAAAACCTGAGTTCAAATTGTGTCTCACACTTTCACTGTCTGACCTTAGGCAAGTCTTCCTCAGTTTCATTAGCTGTAAAATGGGGCTAATAATAGCACTTACCTCATAACGTTGCTGTAGGAATAAAATATCTGTAAAGCACTTTCAAAAACTTAAAATATATAAATTCTATCTATTATTATTGTTATGGTTGCAATCTGAATTTATAAATGCTAGACATTATTATTATGGTTATAATCTAAATGTATAAATGCTAGACATTATTATTATGGTTATAATCTGTATTGCCAGAGAAAATACCGCCATTTATGAGCCCACAGAATTCAGTAAAGTTAAGCAAGGTTTCATGTAGAGGAAGCCCATTATCTAAAAAGGTCTGTGGTGATTAGCCAAACTGCAGGCTTCCAAGCTACATTGTTGCTAGTACTGGGTAACGATTCCCCAAAGCAGAATAAGATGGAGAATAGAAAGATAAATTATTAAAACTAATGTCTGCATCACACCTTCCTGTAGTTATGTTTTCCCCTTCACTCTCATTATACCTGAACATATTTCCAACATCATCTTATGATAGAAAAAAAAATGCGTCATTTGTGGGGAAAAGAACTAGGTAGAATAGTACTAAGCATGATTTCTAGTTCTGCAACTGCCTTTCATTTTTTAAATATATCCCTATATCCTTTTCAAACAATTTATCTATGTGTCTTTATATAACCTTTGATATATCATTTTAGTATCATTTATTCTTTGAACATAATTATTCCAAGTGTGGCACTCATACTTATGAACCATATTTGACTAAGACTGAAAAAACTACCTACACTTTTTTCCACACTAAGCACATTTGAAATTTATCCCTTAATTAGTGGTTTCCCTTGTTTTCTGATGAGTCTGTTGTCATCTGCAGCTCATTCAGATTCATCAGTCCAAAGCTTTTGCTCATAAACTTCATTTTTCATAGTTACACACCAGACTGGCTTGTCAGTCACTATTTTCCAAAAGTCACTTGTACACATTTATACAGTATCTTCAAAGGATCTTAAAAGAAGAGCTTCACAAAGTGAAATCATTCATTGGAATGTTGAAAGAAAAACAGCTTCTAAAAGAAGGAAAATTCTGACTAAAGGGTTCTGATTTTAATGAGATACACGTGAAATAATCAGATTTTTCTTATAAAACATGGTAAAAGTAGTGGGAGGAAGAGGCAGGGGAGTGGCATTACTACAAGAAGCCAGCAAGAAGACTCCCTGGAGATCCCTCATGAACCACTAGTAGTCCCCAGACCATATTTTGTGACCCCAATCTGGGTTTAATAAGACTAAAGGACCCTGAATCACTAACCTTCAAATCTTAGCTACTAGATGATTTTACCACAGTTTGAAGCAGAAAAGTTCAGTCTCAGGTCACATTCATTGCAATTGCACCTATGGTACTTGGATTTTTCCCCTATGAAAAAACTGATTACATACATATATACATACATACATACATACATAAAAAGCTCCTGACATTTGGAGTACTGTGCTAATTGTTAAAATAACTAGACAGTAAGAGAGCTATCAAAGTATTCCAATCATGAATGATCAAACATGCTACTCACCTCCTGACAGAGGGCTGATGGATTCAAGGTGCAGAATGAGACTTACTTTGGGACCATGGAAAATGTGTAGATTTGCTTTGCATAAGAGCTTATTTTGCCTTCTCTTCCAAGGGCCCCAGGCCTCTACACTTCCTTCCTGCTCCAAACACCATACTACCTCTCCTACTACTAACATGGACCCCAACCCACAGGCCTCTCAGCTCCAATAAAGCTTGCCACCTATGTAACCCCTCTATCTCCATCCCCTTTTCCCCACCAACCTTCCTACTCTCCTTTATAGGTTGTCTTTCCCCATTAGAACATAAGCTTCTTGAAGGCAGAGACTCTTCCTTGCTTATATTTGCAGTCCCAGTACATACCACGATGTCTGTGTGCTTACTAAACATTTTATCTTTTTTACAAATATTTTTCCCCATCATTTTGGAGGGGAGTTCATTGGAGGGTGGGATTTGAGAGGGAAGCTAGTGATAAGTATTATTTTCAAAAAAAAAGAAAAAAGAAAAGTGTACTAAAGTATTTTTAAAAATGAATAGGACATTCAGAAGTAAAAACAAAGTAGGACAGTTTTTAAAGTAACATGTTGGATTTATTATATAATTATTTTCTTAAGAAGCATGAGGAACATAATAAAGATTCACAATTTCACAGATAAATTTCTCTTTTGTTCTACTCTTTATGTGTAATTTTTTTTGGTGTTTAAAGTTCAGTTTTTTAAAATTAATTCCAATAAAACCAAATACAGACAACTACAAAAGGAAAATATTATGAGTAAGACAAGCTTATTCTCATGAAAAACATCCAGTACACCAATAATATATTCATATCAGAGGGTGGAACTGTAGCTTAAAAACTAATTGCTTCTTTTCACCTAAACTGAGGCAGCTAGATGGCAGAACAGATAGACAGCTGGGCCTGGAGTCAAGAAGACTTCCAGGCTCAGACACTTACTAGGTATGTGACCCTGGGAAAGTCACTTAACCCAGCTTCCTCAACTGTAAAATGGGGATAACAGCACCTATCTTAAAGGGTTGTAAGTGCTTAGCACAGTGCTTGGCACACAGTTAGCGCTACAAAAATGTGTATTCCCTTTCTCTTCTCTCTCTTTTCCATTCCTTTGCCCTGATTTGGTACATCACAATACCACTGATAAGGAAAGAGGCTGACTGAACTTGATACACAATTCAAAAAAATACCAGATAGCTACAAATAAAAACTCTTGGGTTTGTTTTGTTTTTTTTTAGTTTATAAAATAAACATCTTTTGTGAAGGGGGAAAAAAGCAGTTGAAAGGTTTATAGTTTTGGTCCAAGGCTTTTCCTTGGACCTATGTGCTTTAAGAAACTTACTCTAACACCAACTTTAGGACTCATGGTGTGAAATTATTTTTAAAAAAGCAGGCTGTAGCCAGGTCCTTCCAGTAACTAAATGCTCTTGGACAACGTCCAAGGCTGTGCTATAGTGAGTTTGCCATGTGTTTTATTTAAAGTCAAGAAAACAAATTATTTGAAGCAGTGACTTAAGTTTAAATCTTTATCTCCCACTAAAAATTTTGCAAAACATTTCCCTTCATTCCATCACTCAAAAAAAATCATGTGCCTGGAAGCTCCTAAGTCCTGTCCTACAGTAATTATCTGGGTGGTAGTTATTATTATGCCTATAAATTTAACTTACAGATATTACAGGTAACTTAAAAAGGAAATTAAGTAGATATTTCCCATTTTCAAAGTGATAATAGATATGCTGTGGCATAATTAATTAAAAATTAAGGTTTAAACTCTTAAAAGACTTAAAAACTCTGGACAATGTAGTGAACAATCATGACTTTAGAAGACTAGTGATAATGACTCCAGTCTCTTGGCAGAAAAGAGATGAACTAAAGGTACATAATGCAACATAATTTTTTTTGCCAGACATAGCCAATGTATTTATCTTTATTTGTTAGGGGGAAGAGAGAGTGTCTATTGGGATGGGCACAAATTAATGGGTAGTGCTAAAGGTGTTTTTAAAAGAATATCAACGGGCAGCTAGGTGGCTCAGTGGATAGAGCACCAGCCCTGAAGTCAGGAAAACCCGAGTTCAAATCTGGCCTCAGACCAAACACTTGACACTTGCTAGCTGTGTGACCCTGGGCAAGTCACTTAACTCCAACTGCCCCCTCCCCCCAAAAAAGAATATCAAGAAAACATTTTAAAATATACAAAAAGATAACAAAGTTCATGAGCAGACACAAATGCCAATTCTGTTACTCACTGTTTAAATTAAAATACATTTTCAAAAACTAGGTAAAAGAAGTTGATGAGTTTATGTAAAATTCTTTTTGTTATTTGCATATTGAAATATTTACTAATAACTAAAGTTCATGATAAAAAGGTAATTTCTTAAAATAAAGTTTACAATATTAAAAAATCTCCTTCCCAGTCAGTTATTTGAGTGTCATGTAATGTCTGTTCCTATGGTTTATGGCAACAATCACTTTTCACATAGTCTACTGACTATGTGCAGTTCTGACTTCTTATGGTATACCAGACTCCTAAAAATCCACTCCATACATCTACAAACATACTGGTATAGAGCACTTTTGCATATCTACTATCTGTATTTTTCTACATCATAAGAGTGTTTTCTACTTATACACATTTAAAAAAAAATCAAATCCAGGAACAAAAAACTACAAACACAGGAAAATTTTAAATGGTGAAGTAACTAACCTACCAAATACATTTTTAATTTTTTAAAGGTAGAGTAAAACATAGAATCTGGCAAAATATCATGATATATGAATCAGCACAGATTACTGCTCATCACTTTACGTTTACCTATAGGTTTTCCCCTTGAGTAGAAGCAATGGAAGGGAAATAAGAGTAAAAGGTCTTACTTTGTGCAAACAATTTCTAATTCAAAAGGCAACAAATGATTAAGTTTAAACAGTATTTGCATTAAAAATCTGCAAAGAGAGATAGACTATGAAATCAAATGCACAGAAAAAGAACAAGCAGACTTACAGGAAATTCAGTTTAAATAATTCTAAAAGTATGGCAAAGGAAGCAGAATACACAAAGGACTTAAATGGACAAATTAAATTTGCACTGATTTTGTAGTTACTAAATACAAATAAGCTACATTAATATGTATCATAAAATTGTCATAAATTGACATATTTATGGTCATAAGGTTGCAACAATGATGAAGATTTACTTCAAGGACATCTTAAAATAACAAGTAATGTCATGTGGGGAAAATATGAGATTTGGAGGAGACCCCAGTTCAAATCAGCTGTGCAACTAAAAGACTGTCACCTCTGTGACTGACCATAGATGAACTCATCCTATATTGAGCAAATTAATACGCATTCATTATACTTTTACATCTAATTTAGGATAAATCAAGGCTGAACGATGAACTATGTACAATACTAAAAATTGAAGATTCACCAAAAGAGAATGAAAGAAACACTGGATTGAAAATCAGGAGATGTGAGTTCTAGTCCTACCTCTGTCATTAACTAGCTGGGTGACCTTCGATAAGTTACTAAACCTTTCTGAGTCTTAATTTTCTCATCTCAAAAATGAAGGAACTGGATTATAAAACTTCCAAAAATCATCTTGCAACTCTAAGATTATTAACATACACACACTCTCTCTCTCTCTCTCTCTCTCTCTCTCTCTCTCTCTCTCTCTCTCTCTCTCTCCTTAAAGTTGATCTCTAAAGGCTTCTTAATGCTAGTTGCAGATAAGTAAATGTATTGCATTAAACAAGCAACAGATTGGGTTAAAACAGTGCAGATTTTCAAATTCACATATTACAGGAAACATTTTTAGATGAGATCACATGAAAATAAATGTGTCTTTCACAGTTACAGGATGAAATTTTAAGTTGGCCAGGCAACCAATGCCCTGATTTTCCACTTCTTTTTGCAGACCATATGACTTCCACATGCTGAGAGTGTTTTAGGCTGTAACCTGCAATGAAGATTTTACAATGTTCGAGCAATCCAATAACCAGTGCTTAAAATGCAACAGTAAACACTTTACTCAGATAAGACTGGATTACAAATCAAGATTTCAACTCAAATACTGCACAGGAATAGGAAAGTCAGTGGGTTTTTCCCCTAAAATATATTGTTCTCATTTCAAAAGAAACATCCAAGCAGTAAATCAATAAATGTTAATTGAAAAACTGGGCAATAGGAAGTAAATGGGTTAAGAGTTGTTGCTTGATATTTATCTTTTCACTTACATTTTGCTTCTGCATTCTAAATAATTTATTTCTCTGACACTGAAGTTTCTAGATACTTTAGATTCTACAATTATATAACACCTTTTCTCAAAAGAGCTTAGCTTCATTTTTAAAATTATTCTAATTAATATTTCTAAGATACAAGCAAATAATTTTAGAAATCTAAGTATCTAACAACTGCAATGATGGTCTTCAAGGAGATCAAAACAATATTATAAAGTTCAAATTCAGAAAACACATTAACTGTTTCTATGTAGGTCAACCTAAATATACACTTGTTATCTCTCACATTTCCAATTACCAGCCAGTTTATTGGTGTGAATGACCAATTCCAGAGAGTCTGATTTCCATATCAAAGGTAACAGAACATATGTACAGTAGCTATGTGAATTCGGGTTTTTACTGCTTCCAAGATTCCACGACGACAGCTAACAATGAGTATCAAGAACTAGCAGATTTAGGATAAATGTATTCGAATACCTTAATTTTCTAAACACCGGAAAAAATCATATCAACTCCTCTGCTCGAAAGTCTCTCTCATAGGAAAACAAGCAAACTGTTCCCATAAGCAAAGGTTCCAGAAAGAGCTTCATTTGTGGAATGGAACAAAGTGCTCAACACTCGGTTTCCATCACTTAATGTAACTCTAAGAACTGTTAGAAATGTTAATGCGATTGAAGCTATAATTTTTTAAAATGTTATCTTCTCATAATAGTAATTAAAACTTAAGAAAATAGTTAAAATATTTTTCCAGAGTTTGATTCACATACACAATTCGGATAGATGAAATAACTGAGCTTTAAAGAATAGGTATAAAGAAATTTAATGCAGGAAACCGCAATACTAAAGTGATAATTACCTGTGACAGAGTTGGCAGAAAGAATGATGCAGATTATTCCCCTCTAATGATGCAGGGAATGGCAAAACCAAACAACATGCAACCATATCAGGGTAAAAAAATAAATAGATAGATAGATAGATAGATAGATAGATAGATAGATAGATAGATAGATAGATACAGGCACAGAAGGTATTCTCAACACCCAAGAAATGTCAGCAGCACCAAAAGCAGAGGTAAGAAGAAAGGAAAGAAGATATGAAAAAAGAAAAGACCAAAGGGAGGGTAATGTTTTTGGCACCTGAAAGACCCCGGCAGAAACTGGCTAGTCACATCACACAGCGCCTAGTAGCCAGACACTTCTGGACTTTTAACCCCTGGTGTAAATCAACAATACAATCTGTTTATAAGTCAACTTTATTTAATACAAAATCTCTCCTTAAAAAAAAAAAAGCATTCTTCTTCCCTGCTCTCCCACATCCCGATTTCCAGCAACATTCAAGGAGGAACAATTCAAGGGTGGGGTAGAGGGAAAAGGCAAGCAGCATCTTTAACTTGCACCCAAGCATTACTTCCGACTGGATATCCTGCTAAAAACCCAGTTAGTTCTATACCACAAGACGGTCAGTCAGCCAGTGTTTTCTGAACTATCCATCTAAGCCCCCTCCCACCTTTACAACACCCCACCACCACCAAAAGAGCCCAGCACATTCTTTAAAGAAAAAAAAACCACCACCAATATTTACAAACAACAACAGCAACAAAACCACCCTCAAGTAATTAAGCCGTTTTCACCTCGAGAAGAGGCACCCCACCTACTGTTTTGGGGTGAAGGCGGACGCCTTTCGGAAGAGCCCCGACGGTGTCACCGGATCACGGTTCCGGAGGAGAAGACGCGGGGCACTTTTTCGTTTCCCACCTCGCCGGCGCCGCGTCGATCCGCGCCCCCCGAAGGGGCCCTAGTCCCGGTCGCCCCTGAAGCCCGCGGCCAGCCACAGTGTGGGGGGGCGCGGGGAGCGCGCCCGGAACCCGCTCGACAGCCCAGGCCCTGCTGTGCCCCCCGGTCCCCGCGCGCGCCTCCACCTCGCCGGGCACCGGCCTCCTCCTCCCGGGGCACACCTCGAGCCCCCCCCACACAAAGTTAAGGACACTTGAGAAAACGAAAGGCACGCGCGCGCACCGCACCAACACCCCTCGAATCACCGCCTCACAGTTTCTCAAACTCCAGCCGAGGGACCCTCACCCCGCGAGCTCCCCCATCTCCCACCCGCAGGCAAGGGCGGCAGAGTTAGAAGGGACTGGGTGGGTGCAGCCGGTGCCTTTGAGTTACCCGGCCCCCCCCCAAAATAACCCTGCCCCACCCCTGAGTCGGGTCACCCAGCCAGACGCCCCCTTCGGACACCTCATCGTCGCTGCCACCTCCCCGGCCCCCCACCCCCAAGCCCTCAAGGAAAGTGTGGAGGGGGAGAGGCTCGGGGTGTCCAGCTGGAGAAAATCGCTCCACTCACCTCAGGAGCCTGGCTGAGTTCTCTCTCCGCCTCGCGGGCAACCCCCTCCCCAACGTCCCAAGAAAAAGGGCTGAGGTAGCGGGGGAGGGGTGTCTTCCGCACGGGGTCCCCGGCGGGAGGGGGGCTGGGGAAGGGGGTGGAGGCCGGCGTGGGAGGAGGGGAAGGGGGAGGGGAGGCCCCTATCTCCCAGTCTCCCCCTGAAAACCTCCCTTGTCTCAATCACATCAGACTGACTGTCTTTGTCTGGCTGACAACCGCCATATTGATATCAACAGCCCCGCTCCCACCTGCTGCCGCCGGGCGGCCCTGGGAGTTGTAGTTCCCTGATCCCTGAGGTAAAAGCACGGGCCGCAGCACCAAGCGGCCCCTGGGAACTACAGCTCCCGGCACAGCCCGCGCCCTTCCTCTTTCCCCATAGGGAGGAGGGAAAGGGAGAATCAGCACCAACCGGAACTACAGGTCCCACAATACCGCGGGCATCGGGTCCAGTGAGGGGACATGATATCATCTTGGGGTGTGGAGAGGTTAAAAGAGGAGGCGATGGGGATAAATCGTAGCTGACAGAGGGAGGAGTTCTGAGAGGAAGGGGAGGAAAAGGAAGAAGAATGACCACAGTTCCCATCGTGAAGCCACGGGCGTACTACAGTTCCCGTGATGCTCTGGGAGCGTGAGCAGGCGGGCAGAGGGAGTAGGAGTGCAGGAAAAGACTCGCTATTCCGTCATGCTCTAGGACGTTTGGCGGTGGCGGTTTAGCCGGAAGTCCTTTTCAGGGAGTGAGGGAGTCCAGCCGTACACATATAACAGCGAAGATTTCAGTATGAAGCTGGTGAGTCTCCTCTCGCGGGTCAGAGGGTGAGGGTGATGCCTAGGATTTGGAAACCCGACGGCTTATGTGAAAAAGTTACGGGGTGGGGGGGTAGGGAAAGCAGCGAAGGGAAATTGGTGGTGCAGAAAAGCATGCTGGGAGGAGGGTAGTTCCTGTGGGAGAGGATAGCACTCTAAAGCCTTCTCGTGCCCGTGGCACTTTATCGCTCATTACAGGGGTCACGGGGCTTGACCAGGGCGCTCTGCCAAGGCCTTTCACCTAGCCATGTCTAACAAGCATGGTTCGGGTATTCCTTTTTCATTATCCTGCCTGTAATGCGTTGAAAAGAGCTCTGATTTGGATATCATGGCAAGCTGCGTTCAAATTCCCTCTCCCGCTCGTCATTCCAACTTTGGGACAAGTAATTTGGTGGACTTCGGTTTCTCTTTTATGAAACCAAAGAAGTGAACTACATGGGAAGTACTTAACTTTTTGTGTCATGGACCCTTTGGCACGTAATAGGCCCTTCATAAATGCTTTTTGACCTGGCTTATTGACTTGGCACTCAGATGGAGCCTCTATCTTTTAAATAACATTAAAATATGCAGAATTAAAAAATAAACCAATTATAAGGATATAATTATCCAAATATTTTTAAAATCAAGTTCATGGACCCTAGGTTAAGAAGCCTTGGACCAATGTCTTCGAACCCTTCTACATCTTACATGAGTGTCCTAGCCATCATATTGAGGAGGTACCTTTTATCAGTCAGTCAGTATATTGTTTAGAGATTACTGTGTATACAACACTGAGCTAAGTTGTGGAAGGGTTAAAAAAAAAAAGTTCCTGCATTGCAGGAGCTCATAATTTTGTGAAGGAGTCAGGATGAAGGTACATAAAACAGGGCATTGGTGCAATGGAAAGATCCATACCTCAGAGAAGGGAGAGGGTGGACATTGAACTAGTAGGAGGAACAAGGAGGCTATGCTTTCTTTACTAGAGGAACAGCATTAGCAATGGCATGACAACTAGAAGGAGTGTCCAATCCCTTCCAACAAGAATTTATTCATCATTCACCTTGTACCAGGCCAGAGGCAGAATGGCTTAGTGGATAGGGAGCTAGTTTCAGAACCAGGAAACCCTGGGTTCAAGACATGCCCAGACACATACAGGCTATGTCACTCAAGGCAATTTGATTAAACTTAAGTGCCCTAGGCAACTCACATATGAGACTGTATATTACAGAGAAAGTATTAGTCTACATTGTAGAGGGAGTTTCTTCATCCTTTTATCAATGAAATCACAGGTCTGGTGCCTATTCTTAGCTGCCTGTGTACAAGTCACAGGCAACCAGGTGGCATAGTGGATAGATTGCCAGGCCAGGAGTCAGGAACACCTAGTTCAAAGTGGTGTCAGACACATTGTATGACCTGGGCAAGTTATTTAACCCTGTTTACCTCAGTTTCCCCATCTGTAAAGTGAGCTGGAGAAGGAAATGGCAAACCACTCCCATATCTCTGTGAAGAAAACTCCAAAAAGGAGGCATGAAAAGTTGGACATGACTGGAAACGACTAAACAACAAGAAATGTACAAGTCAATGTGCTAGGTGCCAGAGACACAAAGACAAAATAAAAATGTTCCTGCCCTCAAAGAACTTACATTCTACTGAGAGTTTTAACTAGAACATGTAGACAGATGCATAACTACTAGAGGAGGAAGAAAATACTGAAAACTAAAGGAATTAAACATGGCTTTTAAGAGAATTAGGAGACCAAATCACTGGAATAGAAAGTGCTTCTATCTCAGAGGTGAATGTTTTAAAGTCAAAGCTTTTTTTATAGACACACACATACATCTATATATTTTGTTGTTCATTTGTTTCAGTTGTGTCTGACTCTTTGTGACCCTATTTGGGGTTTTCTTGTCAAAGAAACTGGAGTGGTTTGCTGTTTCCTTCTGCAGCTCATTTTATAAATGAGGGAACTGAGGCAAACAGGGTTAAGGGACTTGTCCTGGGTCATAAAGCTAGTAATTGTCTAAGGCCAGATTTGAACTCACAAAGATGAGTCTTCCTGACTGCAGGCCCAGCACTCTATCCACTGTGCTACCTAGCTGCACGCTCACGTGTGTGTGTGTGTGTGTGTGTGTGTGTGTGTGTGTGTGTGTGTGTGTGTACATATATATTTATATATTAACAATTGACAGTATTAAGGAGATTATTTCTTACATTGGTGTATCAAAGGTTGTTTTGGAATATATCCCATGAAGCATGTGCTGAGGTCCCCAGGCTGATTCTTACAGCCCAAGTGAGGCTCATGGTTGAAGAACTTGGGCATCTTAGAATGAAGAAACAATCCCGGTATTGGTCCCTTGATCCCATGATGGCAGCAAAGGATGTCTGAATCAAGCATACCGATCACTCATCCAGGAAAAGTGGTCCACCCAGGAGAAGTAGACTCTAAAAAAAATGACTGCATCCTCTGGCTCTCTCTTCCCACCTGCTAAATATAAGAAACCTCTTTAAATTTTTCCTTGGAGGGGTGAGAGAAGGGCAGCTCACCTTTTCCCTGAAACCAGCAGCATTGTATCTGTGAGCGTAAGGCAGCTAAAATACGTATGTTGACTTAAGCAGGCCTGAGCTTAGGCCTCTGGCTGTCTCTTCTATTTTATATTCCTTCTGTGAGCATAGGTGACTAAGCATCAAGCCTGAGGTGGATGTGTCCAGCCTTGGAGACAACCTTTTGTATTAGAGATTTGGTGCTCCTAGGTCCCTCAGTTGAGCTGACTGGCAATAATAGGAATATTTTGCAACTACATCCTTCTTGGAGAAGATGACCACAGATGAAGAACCTCTAAGTTTTAATGTTGTCAGAATGCTGTGACTTGAAGAGATTTTACTAGATAATGCAGAGCCAAGGTGAAAAGTATAATACCAGTCCAACAACCCTTTAAAATGCTTCATTTTTGACGTTTTGTGCCTCGGTTCTGGGAGAGTATAACTAGAACTAGAAAAAATCAAAAAAAGCCTCCAGCATATTACTGCAGCTCCCTACTGCCTCCTGGGAAAATGATGAGGTGACATGGACAAGAGTTCCACAGAATGAGCAAGCCTGAATGGTCTACGTCTTTGGAAAGAACATCCATATGGATGAGATCACAGATCCATTTAAGTATAACAAAAACCCTGAGTCATCAAGAAAACATTATATTAAATTCATTGTACATTTTTAGAAAGACAGAAGGATAATTGATACATTTTAGAAAGATTTCCATCCAAAATAATTAAGTAAAATAAAATGTATTTGAAAGTGACAAACTCTCTGAGAAAGTCATCGAAAAAACTTGTTTTCAAAGAAATCTAAATGGATTTTACCATGTTATATATGGCTTTGTTCATGAAATCGTGCTGGACATATTTAGAAATAAGAATGGCTAGAGAGGAAAAAAGCAGGTTTCAAGGAAGCTTTTTTTTTTTGCTGGGGTTTTTGTTTTGTTCTTTGTGTGTTTTTTTCTAGTAGAACAGAAAAGCCATCATAGGGGAAATGTTTTCTGAAATTTTCTTCCCTATCGTCTTGGCTTTCTTATCTCCAAATTGCAGCTTATTTGTTTTTTTACAAGTACTAATATGAAAGAATTTATATAAGCAAAACAGCAGGGTTTGAAAAACATTAAATCCTACTTCTTAGACACCTCTTTTTTTTTTTTTGGTGAGGCAGTCAGGGTTAAGTGACTTGCCCAGGGTCACACAGCTAGTAAGTGTTAAGTGCCTGAGGCCAGATTTGGACTCAGGTCCTCCTGACTCCAGGGCTGGAGCTCTATCCACTGTGCCACCTAGCTGCCCCCACCTCTTTTCTTCAAAGAAAGTAAGTTCACCTGCAGGCGTCAGGCTGCCAGTCATCTGCATAAATATTGTGTGTTAGGATGGAAGTAAACTGCTCTGATTTATATAATGAAACGAAGTAGATGTAGAACACAGATATTAAAATGGGCTCTAGAGCAGAGATGTTAACACTTGCCACTGCAGGCCAACACCATAAAACTTCTGCGCCTGACTTAAATTAAAATGTAATTAGGAAAGTAAATTTAACAAAAATTAAATTGCAATAAAAAATAGATAATGTTAATCCCTGATTTTCTAATTCAATATGCATCCCTCAGGGATCTCTTTCTATTTGAGTTTGATACCACTGCTCTAGAGGATTATTGGAACCAAAGAAGAAAAGACTAAGGTATTAAGAAATTAGAGGGAATAATATAAAGGGAAGTTATTATAAAGGCATTATTACAGTTGAGGACAAAGTGAACTTGCAAGTATTGAGAGGCATATGTGATCGAGTCCTGGAATGGAAGTTAGGCTCTAATCCTGTCTCTCAGGTTTATGATCTATGTGACCTTGAGCCAGTCACTGATCTTCACTGAGCCTCTTCTCATCTATAAGATGGGAGATAGTATTTGCACTATCTGAAAAAGAAAGAGGCCTATGTTCCAGGAGGGAAAGCTGCTATGGGCTGGCCTAACTTCTTCCACTCCATAACAGCTCCCCCATCCTTAGACTTGTACCTCCTTCTGCATCTGCCTGATATCCAGTCTTAGATTAGAAGAGGAATGAGACCTTTCTCTGACTTCTCAGGCTTCATGTCACCTGAAGGAACGCAACTAGGGGGCTGGCAGAGCAACTTCGATCTAAGCCAGTACAAGGCAACTTCCACCTACTGCTGCCTGACAAATTTCTTGCTAGTGATGTGGAGAGCCAGTAGTGCATAAAGAAGCAATCTTTATTGATCTCATGCCTTCCAATGCCTGGTATGCCTATCCTGTGAAGGAAGAGGAAAAACAGTCAGTGGAGAGCACAACTTCAGTCTCCTGCAGCTCACCTTCTCCTGCCTAATCTCCAGCCTCCAGAAGGACGACAAGTGGTTAAACAAAGGTCCCCTCCTCCCACATCTGACCATGGGCCTTCCATCTCATGCTTTGTCTTCTGCCTAATCTCCAGCCTGTTCTTTGATAAAGAGTGGCATCT